TAAAAAGAAGGCGCAACTTGTGTGACCACCGAGTGTTGCAACTGGAGCTAAATTATCAAAAAGTGAAGTAAAGAGTAAAGAAAACAAAGCAGATAGCTAGTTTACGAATTCACGTTGAAAGAGTGATTAGACATTTAAGAAAATTTTACATGTTAAAGCCCCACTCATGTCTAAACATAAACTTTGTAAAGATACTTGGTGATGTTATTGTAATAGCAAGTGGTCTTATAAATTTGCAGAACTCTAATAAAATAATAACTACAAAATTATTATTTGTGTATTTTATTTATTTAAAAATTATAATGTACTTTGATACAAGGGTACACATTTTCCTTCCACCGACTCACTTAAAGTTTCGAGAGGAAATCAGACATGTTTGTCATCGAATGTCACAGTTATAACTTCAACGTTTTATTTGTGCTGTGGTCACTCTCGCCAATACTAAAGTAACCATTTTGGAGCCCAGTCAAATACATTTGCATCTGCATCTATATATTAAACTTTTCAGTAGGTTTGCTATTCTTAACATAATATTTTGATAGGTTTCGGCACTTGTAAGTCATTAAATCTCGATAATACTGTCTTCACAAATCCCATCTGGTGATCCTGCTATCATTGGATATTTTTGAGATAGCATAAGCTCCCACTTCTTAATTTTTTTTCCAAGCATAATGCTAACAGTTTAACCCATTTCAGTTTCTAACATTCTTCCGCGTTTCATTGCTGGTGTGTCTTGTATATTTCCACCCATTATTATTGCAATAAGACTTTCATCAGTCTTTTTACATCGACTGAACTCAAATCCTCGAGATGCTGGAATTCTGCCATAGTACAGTTCATACCAAAGGTTACTTTGATGTTGTTCTCTCATTTCTTCCTGTATTTCAGCAATGATTTTATTGGAAAGTACTACCTTTTGTAAAAATGTCTCACAGCATTTCTCCTCAAATTTCAGCACAAGCTGGTGCATAGATAAACTGTGACTAATGTTACAAATATAACTGGGTTCATACTTTAATAATTCACAGTTAGCAAGTTTTCTTTTCCTCCTAACATCCAAAAACTTATAAAGAAGTGAATTATCTGATGGTAAGCTAGGTGTTCTATTTGATAACTCTTTTGCTGTCATATACTTCAAACTAGTTCCAACACGGGATAATTTCGATTTTTTCCAATAACAAGCTACAGCTGTACAGGGTGGCTCTTCACTTCTTCGGTGGGTCCACATGAGGAATGCTACAGTGTGTTTTTAGCCTCCTTTAGGAGCAACACAACCGTGACATTCTCTTAAAACAACAGATTCTTCTTCATCGATCATTAGAGTGACAGCATACAACTTTACGTGAACCTTATGTTCGGGGCAAATTTTGCCTTTCACTGTGCATATTTTTCCATCACGTTTAAGCTGTACATAGCTAACAGCATCATCGCCATATAAAGGTCGGAAGGATCTGAAATAAACGAGAATAATTTTAGTGATGATGTTCACTTAAATTATTTATGATTTTTTACACCCCAGACTTGTTTATTATATAGAAGTGTAGTTATAAAAAGCGAATGGATAATTAATTAACGTAGTTGCTGCTGATTTCAATACAGAAATGCTTTCATAACATAAACTTAAAGTGTCATACTCATACGAGGGGCGGCTGATAAGTCCACGGCCCAAGGTACTTAGCGATGACTCATTATTTCACAACTATTACCACTAATTGCGACACTTCTTGTTAGTATAAATATAGCTTCCTTTCGTTATTAAAGTCATTAACAAATTATCTGTCGAAGCACAAACGTCATCATGTCAGCCGAATCGTCAAATCTCAGTAATATTGAACATCGCGCCGTAATAAAGTGCTTCGTAAAGAAAGGAAAAACGCCCAAAGAAATTTTTGAAAACATGGTATCAGTTCTTCATGAATCTGCGCCTTCGTATACGATGGTCAAAAAATGGGCTCGCTTATTTCAACAAGGACGAGAGAGCTGTGAAGATGATCCTCGCCCAGGGCGTCCTGTGACGGTAGTGACGGAGGAAAATGTTCGAAAAATCGAAAAATTTGTACTGACCGACCAAAGAATAAAATTATGGCAGATAACTGAAGAGTTGCAGATTAGTAAAGAACGAGTTGGAGAAATTATACACGAGCATATGAATATGAGAAAAATCAGTGCGCGTTGGGTACCAAAAATGCTAACGCCGTTTGACAAGCAGCGGCGACTTCAGACAAGTAAGGATTTTTTGGGGTTAGTCGGGGATAATATAGACGAAATTTGCGACCGAATTGTAACCGTGGATGAAACCTGGGTTCGTCAATACGATCCGGAATCTAAACAGGAGTCCATGCAATGGACGAAAAAAAGGAGAAAGGCTGCCGAAGAAATTCAAGGTTCAAAAGTCGGTATCGAAGCTTATGGCGACAATTTTTTGGGATAGTGAAGGTGTTTTACTAATTGATTACTTGCCAAAGATTCACTTGACTACTATGAATGGCCAATATTACGCGAATTTATTGGCTCAGGCACGAGAGGCAGTCGTACAGAAGCGACGTGGGAAGTTATCGCGTGGAGTGCTGTTTTTACAAGACAATGCATCTGTCCACACGGCGCGGGTTTCGAGGCAGGCCCTGAAGGACACGGGCTTCTCGGAAATTGACCACCCGCCCTACAGCCCAGATCTAGCTCCCAGCGACTATTTCCTTATTTTCAATTTAAAAAAGGAGTTACGTGGTCGTAGATTTGTTGATGACAATCAAATGAAGATGGCTGTAGAAAGCCATTTTGACTGCAAAGAAAAGGAATATTTTTTTGGGCGGTTTAAAGGCGTTATACACCAGATGTGAAAAATGTATTTCGCTTGAGGGAGACTATATTGAAAAATAAAAATAAAATACTCGTACTTTTCTTTCATTTAATGCCTTAGGCCGCGGACTTATCAGCCGCCCCTCGTACATAAAATATACTTTTGTGAAAATTTTGGCCATTTAATGTATTTTGAATATTATTTAATGCAATACTTACTTGGAAGTTTTAACATTTCGAAATTCTGACGAACAAAAGTCATTGTTTGATGCAAAAAATTCTCCCAGCATCAACAAGTCGATTTTTGGAAAATTTCACCTGTAAGCTTTGATAAATCTTTGTTCAATGAGTAATGTTTCCTTGTCGTAGGTACTTTTGTTTATAAAAAACTAGACACAACATTTACATTAAGTAAATATCAGTTAAACTGTAGCAAAATGGGCAACTACAAAGCAAGATCGCAATGCCACGATGTTTACTATGTTTACGAAAGCATGACGTCACACGCTTCTGATTGGTGTTTGACTTAATATGGTGAATTGGTGAGTTTTGTGTTTTTATTTTTATAAAAATTAAAATAATCACACTGATTTTTAAAAAGTAAGTGACTTAAACAGAATCATTATATTGTGTTTAATTATAATTATTTTAAATCATAATTTCAGTGATTTTTGGTGACTGTCATCATGCCTATTAATGAATGCTTACAGTAACTATTTAAGTTATAGATAGATACTTTTCAATAAAAAAAATCAAATTGACTAAATCACTCAGAATCATTATTTTCCTGAACAATTAAAACCATGTGTCAGATTTTCATAAAAGCATACACTTTGTAGGCATAAGATTATATTTACGAAGGGTCATCAAATCCTTATCTTTCGCACTAGAAATGAACAGAGATTTGTTATAACATTTTCACAGACTTAAAAGTTTCATATCAGAGCTTCGGTTACAACTATTTTCTTTTGTTTTTCGCGTTTGTCGTGTTTGTCGTGATTCTGTTTCTTCAGTCAATAAATTAATTTTTTTAGACTCTGTTTAGTGTATTTAAGTACATGGCGAAGTAATAAGAAATATTATGAATTTTAAATATATTTTTTAGTGAGTTTAAACTATTTACTGTGGTTAATAAAATAATTAATTATAAAAAAAATACAAAATCACTACTTTTATAGTTGGCTTATACTGTGGACCTGTCGATATTTTTTTTGGTCTTTTGACTGTGTTGGATAGATACTGTTCCTTATAATACTTTTTTACATACATTCATGTCCCTGAATGATATATAAATATGACTCGAAAAAAATTATGATATTAAATTATTTTTTATTTAATCAAAAATTTATTAATTTATCTGATTATTAACTTTCCCAATGAACTACAATTAACACGAATCACCGCATGCGGCGCACGTAGGCTGCACTAGCGCCGTCAGCGCCGCCTATGGCCGGAAGCACGAGTCAATGCTTTTGATTCCTTATTTAAGTCGTGAGCGATACACCAAAAGTGTGTCTGTGAAAATATGTATGCGTGTGATGATTTTGGAAGCAGAGCTTTTTTACGTGCATTTTGCTCCGTTGCATTGTAAAATGAGTACAAAGTGTTTTTTTACTGGTATGTTAAACTTGTTTTTTTTAGAACAAGTTATTGACTGTCTAAGTAAATATTTATTAAATTTACTTTAAATACAAATAAAAAAATATACCTCTGTTGGCAAAGTGTACTTAAATAAAATATCTGCCTTTTTTTTGACGTTATGTTTTGAGGAATTAATGAAATCAATTGTGAAAGGAAGGGATTTGAATTAAAGTTTTTTCTAAATGTCTTTTCAGCAATATTTTTTGAGACAGATTTTTCATATGAAATGTTACAGAAAAATACTAGTGCATTGTTTGTTGTGACGAAATATGAAAGGATTTGAAACTTTTGTGGAACTGTACTCAAACTGTGTATAAATTTAATATCAACTACAATTATTTTCAAATTCAACTAAGAAAAGGCGGTATTATTAAGAGTAAAAATAATAATAATATCTTCCGACACATACCATTATCTCCAGTCTCAAACTTAGCAACGAGACTTGTATTGTGGGTAACAGATAGTTGATACATGTTTATTTTTTTTTTGTAATTATATACACATAATATATGGACATATCCAGACTCAATAAAAATAAATTTTTAATCAAATAAATAAATGTTTATCTTGTGTGGGAATCGAACCCACTCCTCCAGCACAGTAAGTAGAGTTACTACCAACTGTGTCAATCAGATAGACAGGAGTTGATAATGTTCAACAGTGTTACAAGCGTGTGTTTATCGTGTTTATAGACAATGTTTTGTACAAATGTTGTAGTCACTACAAAAATTTAAAAGACTTAAAGTTTGTTAACCTATTTGCTTGTGAAAATTTTTCTTTCTATTGTATGACTTGTCCAGAAGAATCTGTCGTACAGTGAGAGTTGAGCCGACTAGGTAGCCACCATTGGTGGGCCACCAATTGAAACAATGATAAAACTGGGAGGTTTTCTTAGCCATGCTTACCCTGACTGAATTTTTTCCGCACGCCTCTGATCCCATCGCTGTAGAAATTTGGAAACTTCTGATCACAGAACTGTGACTACTTAAAGGAGTCTGAAGAGATTGAAACAGGTGAGAATCTAAGGGTCAAAAGTCTGGGCTATATAGTGGATGCATTAACACTTCCCAACCTAACTTTTTAAATATTCGAGTTGCTAAACATGAGTGTAATTTGGCATTATGGTGAAAAACGACACCCTTTCCGTTAATGAATTTCGGCCGTTTTTTCTCTACTTGCTTAAGTTTCATTAGCTGCTGGCAGTAGAGATACGAATTGATGGTTTTTCCGGCGGCAAAAGCTCATAATAAATAACGGTCTTCCAGTCTCGGCTTCATGGGCGTACCCTGATGGGGGGCAGTTGGTTTCGTAATATATTGTAGAACATGCATATTCCAGGGAGCATGTTCGTCTTTGCATAGCATCAACTTATTGCAAGTTAATTCGGGTTTCACTATAGTCTGTGGAGCTTGCTTGCCTTTTGACCATGATTTTTTCGCACGTTTTTGTCGTACATAATCCATTTTTTTCACCAGTGATCTTCTTTTCAAAAATTGTTCAGCTTCATTATGTTTCAATAAAGAATTGCAAATTATCATACAATTCATTAGATTTCTTTCAGTGAGTTCATGTGGAACCTCAAGCTTTTTCGTATAAACAGCTTTTTTCATACAGGTCAAAACTGTTTGGTTGTCAATACTCACCTTTTCAGCTATGTCGCAGGAACTAATATACCGAACTTCGCAACTTTTTCCAAAATGATATCAACTTATCTGTAATAGGTCGAACAAAGCAAAGTTCATCTTTGACGTCAAAATTACTGAACTGAAAATGCTTGAACCAGTTTTATGCTACTTTTACTGATACTGCATCAGATCCATAAACGATGCTTTTTTTTGGTATATAGCTTCAAAATGTGTCGAATTTTCACAATAGATTTACTCATTTTGGTAGACAGAAAAATAATAGAAAAAAAATGTGTGTCAGCTCCGACGCACGACTGGAGTTTACTCCTTAAGTAAGATTGTCTAAACATACGCACAAAGAGTTTATTTAACTGAAAAATTTCGTTTTGACTAAAAATTTAAGAAAACCACGTGTTTCATTTGATATTCCAGCATTATTATCTACACCACTTTCTTCCATAGTTTATATCAATTGCACTTCACCAAATATAATAATAATGCATATAAAAATTCACGATAATAATAGTAATTATTAATAATAATAGTAATAAATCAAATGTTAATAATAAATATTTACATTGTAAAAGAACACTTTAAAACACAAACAAAACAGTGGTGACGATCCGTATTAGAATTGTATAACTGATACACTATATATATATCGTTTGTAAACGGTGAACAGTATACTTTTATAATATAGGTATACACACAATATATGCGTCAGCTGCCTCGCTGCGTTGGCTACACACAAGTATACAGACAAGTATACAAGTACACACATACACGCGATTGAAAAGTGAAAGGTGCGTCAATAAGTTGCGCACCAAAAACGTAACGCGGATTCATCAGTAGATTTTACTCCTCAAATTTTTCTCATACCGGGCGCCTTATATGAAAATCGATTCTTAAGGAGTAAACTCCAAAAATGGCAGGATACCGTCTTAACTTCTTATTTTTATTTATTTTTAAATCTCATCTATTAATGCTATCAAAACTAGCCAGATATGTGTTTGTACAACACAAAATAAGAGCTTTTACTGTAGCTTTTTACTTACAAAATACGAAAAGAAAATTTCCTGACCTAATATTATAAGCTTATTATAAGTTTTATTTTATTTTGTCAGCTTGGTTTAATTGCTCAATTTACTTGGTGAGAAAAGGACGAGATAAGTACTAAGAGGGAGTTGAGAATTGGAAAAGATGTGATATGAAATGAAAGGATGAGGCAGAGCGTAACAGGACTGAGAAGAGAGAGAGGGGGAAGCAATTGAAATTGAGAATAAGATTGAGATCAAGTTCAGGATAAAACTCAAATTCTCATTCAACATTTTTTATTCATCAGGCAAAACCGTGAGCATTTGTTTCAAATTGAAGCATATAGGAAGGTATAAGAAGTAAGCAACACTACCGTAGCTGCAGAAGAGGGTTATTAATAAAACACAGCGTGCTGATTTGTTGTTGTTTTTAAATTATGCATTATCAAAAAAATAGACTAAAAATTGTGTTTGATGTATTAAATTATAATTCCTTACAAAAAGCATGATTATATTGAGTACCTTGTGTGGGACAGGTGAAATCGGTGGGTTCTCGTCTCAGCCGTAGCGGCAGCGGGGGCGCGCCCGCGCCCCGTGCGGAGAAGAGGCCCGCCGCAACCGACAACAACAATACGACTCCCTGGAAAAAGGCCAGGTAACCATGAGCATCGGCACATTTGCATCGCTTTACACTTCTAGCAGTTACACAGATATCAATGCCTAGTAACGATTACAAATATATTCATAGTTTTAAGATATATTTTATTGAAATATAATGTAATATTTTCCATTGTTAAATTGGGTTACATATAGTTTTTCTGTACAACTATAAAATTGGCTAATCTGTTAGCTATTAAAATAAACATGGGGGATATTTGACCACACGTCGAGAGGGGGGATGGATTAGGCCTACGTGAGATTAAGTGTTGCGGTTTGCGGGTGGCGTGGGCGCGGCAGGGCGCCGGGACCGCCGCCGGCGCTGCAGAGTCGCCCGCCTGACCGTCTCCACCGATTGCAACAGGTCAGTCCTATATTTTCTTAAATTCCAAATATCTATATGAAATTCTTTATAAGATGTAGTACCTTGAAATATTCACTGCCATCAATATTTATTCCATTTGTTTAATTAATTCTAATACACCTAAAAGGAAGCATGAAATACTGAAAAATTAAATTAATTAATTTCAATAAAATTTGTTTATTTCTAATGCTTATTAGAAAGATATTTACAGCAATAAAGTCGTATTGTCAACCCATTTTTTCCAAAATAAAATGCTAGAAATTATTCACAGTAATGACTTATTATTATTTATAGTAATGAATATTTTTATTATTTAAACTGAAGTGGTCGTGCTGTTTTCATTTAGGCGGGTGGTCACGCGTGATGCATTTCATTCACATTTTTAATGCTCTAGTTCATATATAAATACTTAACAAAAACTGAATGTGTCGAATTATATTTCAAATAAAATACCTGTACTGTAATGTATATTTTTTTCATTATATCGTTCTATGATTACATCAATTACGAATAATGTTTATATACTGGTTGAACCAAAATGTTTTTTGTTTTATAGCTAAAATGAGAATGATTGTATATTTTTTTAGATGTTTTATGTATACTATTGTTCTGCATTACAAACTTTATCATGACAGTTTGCACATATAGTAATTGTGTGTTCATCCTATATTAAATTCAAACACAAAATATGATTCTTTCATGTGTCAATTTTTTCTACATAGATATAAGAAAAAAGCCTTGTACATTTTTTTGATGAAATTCAGTTTCTTATTAACCATATTTTTTTTTTGAGGAATTATTTTACAAATCTTGAAAACAAATGTGCTCAAATTAGTTTCGGTGCTAATTCTTTCATAAATTGACTACTAAATAAATCATCAGTTTTACCCTTACATAGTTTGGCTGCTGGTGCCACCAACAATCAAAAGTGAAAAAAATGTTGTCACGGGCCTCCTGTTATCAATCAACAAACATAATGCTTGCCATTTGTTTGCGCCATATCGGCCTCTCCTTTAGTCATGTCATAAAACATTATAACGTATGGACACACATTTTCACAATCGACAATTAACCATATCACCTTGCTTTTTGAAAATAAATAATAAACATTCTTCTTTTTCTTTGGAACATAGGACAATAATAAACAGTTTTCTCTGAATAATAAAACAGAACTAGGGAAAAGTCTGTTTTTTGTTTGAATAAATAAAGGTATAATTTGTACTTGTCTCTTTTTAATGTTTTCACGTTTATTTCATGATTTTTTAATAAATTCTCAGACAAATGAATGGATCTAAAATAAATGTCCATAGTGATATTTGTTCTGGAGTTCAAAATAGGGATGGATATTTGTTTTATGTCATGAATTTTATAATTGAGATCATAAGGGCCTAAGAAATCAGTATGGTAAGAATCATTGAACACATTTAACATAGTATATGTTGTCCAATCTGTGATGGGGTGTTTCCCTTTTTAATGAGAAATTTAATGACTGTTCAATTCTTAATTTATTACATATTTCTTAATTTGTTCAAAATTATGGTTATAGTACAGTAGCTATTTATACAATATTAGTGGCGTAGGTGAGTCTTCTGCTTGTACTTTTCTAATACCAGTTAATCAGTCCTATACTTTACCTCCGTCAAATGGAACAAGAAATTTTTTAACTCCTGCGCTGGAGACAAACATGTCTTATATATGTCCAGTGCGGGCGTATATTGTCTATCTTTCATAGGTTGTTAAGTATTGGTTATGGAGTTGACATTTTAGACTATCATTGCAAAATTACAATTTTATATATACTCTCTAATATTCTTGGAGCTCTCTCTCTAATGTCTTGAGTTACACTCCTGAAGTGTTTTATAAGTCTTAGTTTGTGATCACCCTCATAGGAATAATAATTTGTATTTTTAAAATTCAATGTATTTTACATATTTTCGATAGGAACTTGCATTACT